TCCTGACCCTTGCCTCCCCCGCCCCAGCTCAGTACTTTAAAAAAAGCCCCTGTGCTCACCAGGTGCTGGCAGGCAGGGGGGCAATCCCCACTGCCCCACTGCCCCATACTGCATGGGGGGCTCTGCACGAGCCCCCCAACCCCGCCACAGGTGCCCTGCCTGAGCCAGCTCTGAGCCTTTAAGTAAAAAAAAAAAAGAAAAAAAGGAGAAAACCTCGGGACACACTGCTCCTGTGGCAGTCTCAGGGATTCAGGGGCTCATGCAGAGCCCCCCACATGGCATGGGGCAGTGGGGCAGCGGGGATCACCCCCGCTGGCAGGAGCAGTGAGTCCAGGGGTTTTCTTGGGGGGGGGGGTTTCTTAAAGGGCCAGAGCTAGCCAGGGCAGGGCACCCATGGTGGGGCTGGAGGAGCAAAGTGTGTGGGGGGGGCACAGCATGGGGCAGTGGGGGGCAGCAGGGATTGCCCCCTGCCCAGCAGCACCTGCTGAGTCAGGACTTCTTTTTCCAAAGAGCTGGGACCTAGGCCAGGCGGGGCAGCCATTGCCAGGCTGGGAGAGCAGGCGGGGGATGGGCCTGGCCTGGCTGATTCAGCCAAATCGAATTGGGACAGCAATTCGACTCACCAGATCTAATCACTGTCCCCTGAAGCAGCCGAATCTGAATCTGAAGTGAATACTAGCCGCTTCGCACAGACCTGATATATAGTCTCACAGGGATATACAACTGCTGTATAGCAATGAAAGAAGTTTACTTATAAGGTGCAGATCAGAAGGAAAACTAGTTTTCAGTTGCAGAGTTACTCTAAATATTATTGCAAGAATTTTTTTTAATAACATATTTTCTCCTGAATGGATCAACAGATTTTGCTCAGGCAGACAAAGCATGGAAAATCTAGCCCCAGATTGCCAATTGCAGAACATGCTAAGCAACTGAAAGACAGGAGTGAGAACATTAACTATGGTGTAAAATTAACTCACTGAAGGACTAAAAATAACAGTGATGTATTGATACTTGTGCTATATGAACCAGTGTGCAAGCATCAGAAAGAAGGGGTGGTGAAAGAAGGGGAAGTGAAATTTGGGCAAGCAATTACATCAGTCAAAGAATTACATCAGATGAAGCATCCCATAAATCACCACAGTATAAGTGTGTTGGTACAGTTAGAAACACTGTCACAAAAAACACATTTAAGGAAAAACTTTGAATTTTTTATTTTATTTTATTCCAGGGAATTGAAAAACCATGACGCAGCAATATGTTTCTTCAGTGCGTCCAAAGAAACTGGTTTCCCAACATAACTCCTGCCCACAGAAATAACAGCTCCATCCAGAGGAACTGGCAACAAGACATTCTTCCTATCCTGTTAAAGATGAACAGAAAGCATTTTGGGGGGAAACGACTGTCATAGGAAGTAAAGCTCAGATCATTAGAGCAGGAACCTGGGAGTTAGGACCATTAAATTCTATTTGTAGCTCTGATACCAGCTTGTTTCACACAATTTCACCGTTCTGTGCCTCAGTTTCCCCATCTTTAAATACAGCTAAATAGGAATGCTGGGAGACCAAATGAGCTAGTTAAATACAAATCCTCTGCTGAAAGGCACTACATTATTATGTGTTATTTTTTTTCATTCCATACTGGAAACACCTTAATCCACTTTCTTTCCAAGTAAGAAGGATGCCTGAAGATTACCTAACTGCTTACCCCAAATTTCCTCTGCATTTTGTGTAGGTATGTACAAGTCCAACAAGCTGAGATGATGCATGTAGCGAGAAGGGAAGAGGTAGTTGCTCTACAATACAAGCGCTCTCTCTCCACGTATGTTGTTTTTGAATCACCAGTATCTCACCCCAGACAGAGCTGCTGGGGGAGCATTTTTAGTTTATACAGTTTTAGAGAGGGGAATATGAAGTTCTACAGACTAGATGAAGGGAAGGGGTACAGCCATTTGTGAGGTACCTCTCCCTGGGAATCATGGCATATTAATTCCTGGTTCCTGAACAGCACCACTTCCAGGACTGGTGTTGTAGACACTGAAGTCATCCTTGTTGGTGATGTGTAACTTCCAGGGGAACATATGCTTCTCAGAGGGCCTGTTTCTGCTCTGATACACCATGAGTTCAACATCCTGGTCAGAAAGCAGCCGAATCATGTCACCACTAAAGTCCCGGTAATTCAAAACAATATCTTCATGATCAAATTCCCGCCTGGGGAAGGAAAAATGGATTAAATTCTATTAACTTAATGCCAGGAAGTTACTGAACAATTAATAACGTACTAGAGACCCCTGCCCTCTACCTGGAACTCTAGAGGGATAGAAGCACGTCCACTTTTCAGGGCTATTTAACTCTTTCTATACCAGTGAATGAGATTTCAAAAACAACAACATTTTGCATTTGTATAATACTCTGCATAGGGTATATCATGCAAAGTACCACACTCCACTTTGACACTATCCAGATACAGAGAAAAGCATGGTTTGAATTATGGGGGACCTCGGAGGGGGGTGAAAATCATTTGAAAGTCATAACCTGAGAGGTCTCTGATTTTATTAGGGCATTGTGGTGGGCAGCCCAATCTTTTTGCAGACCCACCCCCAAGAGTCAAAGTGTAATTTGAACCCTGGAGAAAAGACCAGGGTCACTTTCCCCACCCCTTGTACAGATGACCCACAGAGAGCAACATCCAAGACAATGACTCGTTGATAATGCTATCAGCAATGTTTCTCACTAAGGAGGTTTTGTAGTGTTTGACTGCCAGTAGGCAATGGTGTTTTCAAACATCATTACAGAGTGCCAGATCATATGCTAAAGAAAGATGAATGGGAAATCATGTTATTCAGAGGATGGGGGAGTAGGTATGCCTAGTGCATATCTCTGTTATTCAAAATTATTTCATAGATTTCATTGACATTAGGGCTGGAAGGGACCTCAGAAGATCATCGAGTTCAGCCCCCTGCCCGAAGGGCAGGAAGTCAGCTGGGGTCATAGGATCCCAGCAAGATAAGCATCCAATTTACTCTTGAAGGTGTTCAACGTAGGTGCCTGAACCACCTGTGATGGCAGGCTGTTCCAGACCTTGGGGGCTCAGACAGTAAAGAAATTCTTCCTTATGTCCAGCCTGAAA